ATTTCTTTGACAGAAATTGAATCAGATTTCATTTCTCCAGCAGTCTCACTAGTACAGTGGCTACAAGGAATCTATTTCAACACATAAGATGATCAAAAAGTATACTGAGAGTATACGTACAAGAGAAATTTTCATCCCTTCCTTCGTCCCTTTTTGCTTTAAATACTATATTGTATAAGCACAGTTCTTAGAGGTATTTAAGTCATGCTGAGAACATCAGACACCAAATTTAAGGACAAAAAAATACAGAAATAAACTGAAAACAAAAAACAAAAACATGATGATGTTGGTGATGATAAAATAAGGCTGGAGCATTATACTACTTATCATTTGAGATGGTCAATACACTGTTTAGGCAGCTGAAAGCCTAGAAGATATACAACATCTTGAAAAAGATGAACAACAGTCCCAAGATCTAGCCATGGTGGGACTCAGGCAACTTATTCTTCCGCCCTCTTGGTAAACACCCGTGGTGTGGGCCAGGAAGAGAACCATTACCTGTAAGCCTACTGCCACACAGGCTGAAAATCAAGCACTCCCCCTCCACCCCACACCCCCGCCACCCCATAGCTACTGGGGATATATGCCTCAGCATCTCTTGGGAGGATGACCATATGCAGTATAGCAAATACGGGGGATTTCCTTCTATCTTCTGTTTGAAAGCAAAGGTTGTTTTCACTGTTTTGTTTTGTTTTGTTATGTTTCTTTTGCTCTACTAGGTACTCTCAATTGGTTTTTATAATGTTCTATTTTTGCTTTGATTATGCTATACTTAATTGACTGGACAACTATTATGAAGTTAACGAGATAAACCATAGTACCTATCCCAGTATCCTACTGTGAAATCCTGTACCAATTTCACTGCATTGTCTCGATTGGCTTTGCTCTGTCTTGTGCTGTTGCATTTTTACTTTCCAAATAAAATTAAAAAAAGAAAAAGATAAACAATCAAAACACACACATCAGCAAGGAAAACCTTGTCCAAGGGTTTTAAACAAAAGAATGCTAAAATCTAACTTAGATTTTAATGAGATTATACTGGCCAGGCTTAACCACTGCCTTTGTTTCCTTGAAATGGGATTGCCAACATTGGGGGAGGGGAGTGTCAACTCTGGTCTTTCCTGTTTTACAAATTAAGTTATACTGGGATGTATTCACACTCAACTGGTTATGTATTGCTTTTGGCTGCTTTCATACTACTATGGTAAAGTTCAGTATATACGACAAACAAACCACAAGACTGCAAAGCCTAAACTATTGACTATCTAGCTCATATTGAAAAATGTACCTCTTTTCTGGAAAAGCAAAAATTGCAAGAGTTCAATTATTAGGCAATAAAGAGTGGTTTGGACTAGGTAGCAGCAGTGAATTTTTTAAGAACTAAACTTGTTCTGAAAATACTACTGAGACAATGTGACGTCTAAGAGACTATAGTCTGAATTAACTGCTATAAAATTAATCCAAGGTTAATTTTTAAATAAGGTTTAAACTACTAAATGTCTAACATAGTCATACAAAAGCCACTGAAATTTCCATGTAAAATAACTAAATTTAAACAATGTAACTTGACAAACTCAGTCAAAAGTATTTGACCCATCAAGAATTCATTCTTAACAATCCTGATTCCCAAAATATTAAAAGTACCATGTTAAGGGGCTCAATATCTAAATTGAGGCCTTTAAATTTCACTCATGAATGATTCTAATCCATTAAAGATTACAGGAAGGAAAATCACTAATATCTATAAATAATATATTGAAATGAAAATTTTCTATATAATAGTGTAACATTGTTCAAAGTAGTATAATGATAATAAACTTTAATCACAGAAGAAATTACTATGTAGATGTTGGAATGTAAGTAATTTTAAGAATAACTATATAATATGAAAACACAATGACACAAATTTTCAGTCATAACTGAATCTGTGCTATAGCTCAACACTGTTTGAACATCTTTCAACAATACATATTATATCATTGTTTAGCATGGTTTAAGTATTCTTGTGAAGAATCTAGAATACTTTCAAAGTTGATTAAAAAGCACAGAATTTCAAATAAGTCCTCGCCAGTGTGATAAAGCACTATGCCAGCAGCTATAAAAAGTTATTTAAAAAAAAAGGTTTGTAATACCATTATATGAAATTAACATACTTACTTTATTGACCATTCTTATACAGCCAATATAAGTCCATTAGAAAAATGCAAATTAAAACTATACTGAAATACCACCTTACCCCAGAAAGACCGACCATTATTAAGAAATCAATAACAACTCCTGGCAAGGATGTGGGAGGAAAAAGCAGGCCTTTCACACTGTTGATACAAACATAAACTAATGTAACCACTATGGAAATCAGTATGAAAATTCCTCAAAAATTAAAAACAGAAATACCATTTTATCCACTATTCACCTTCTAGGTATCTTCTTTAAAAAGTTAAAGTCATCATATTTCAGTGACACATACATACCTATGTTTATAGCAGAGCAATTTGTAATAGCTAAATCTTGGAAACAGCCCATATGACCAACCAATCATGAATGGATAAAGGAAATGCAGTATTTATACACAATGAAGTACTCCTCTACCATAAAGAAAGATAAACTTGAGGGATTCATAGGTAAATAGATTCACCTTGAGAGAATATAATTAAGTGAAATAAATCAGACATACAAGTTTAAATATCACATGGAGTGTCTTAATAGACTCTTACATGAGAAACTCCAAAAAAATAAAAACAAAGAGCAAAATAAAAAATAGATAATAAGAAATAGACATATATTTCTCAATTGAGAGAGGGAACAAGAAATGGAGGGAAAGATAAGGAGGAAAAGGAGATAGAGAAAAAAGACTGAGGAAAAAAATGGAAATAGAGCTTTTGCAAATTAGAAGGTGACCAAGAGTTCAAAACATCAGGAAAGCATGGAAGTGATAGGGAATTAAAACAGAATTAACATTTGGTATACACATGCACAACTCCCCGTGATAAATATAATCATTATGTACTGCACACATACACTAATAAAAAATAAATTTTAAAAAGCAATTTAAAGTAAAAATACTGAAAGGGTTTTGGCCCAGACACGACTCTGTAGTCAGGAAAGCCTCAACCGGAACCAGGAAGCTCCTATCTCCCCCGCCTCTGGAAATTTACCTATGGCACCAAACCTAGGACCAATGGGCTACCTGTGCATCCCTAATGCCCCCTTTAGGTTCCACCCCAAACCGAGGCACTTATGTGCCTCACTCCATATGTTCCACAGAGAGATCACCTGACTCCAGTGGTGGGGGATGCCGTCATCTCTCTCCATGTTCTCAGAATAAAGGCTGCTTTTTGTTTTATACTTCTCATCTTTTGGAAATACTTTTCATCTTTTGGAAATAACCCTATCAAATACCATATAAAGTGTCGCACTAAATAAATAAGTCTTCATAAAAAAAAAAAAAGCCATGGAAAAAACCATAGATCCAAGGGAAAAAAAATCACAGATTCAACTTGATTAACAAGTCTTTAAAAAAAATTTTAGGCATGGCTGTAATCTCAGCACTTGGGAGGCTGACGCAGAGGATCATGGTGAGTTCGAGACCAGCCTGAGCTACATAATCAAATTCAAGGCCAGCCTGCGCTACATAGTGAGATCCTAGCTCCAAATAAATAAATAAATAAATAAATAAAATCTTAGGAAGGCTAACGAAAAAATAAACAGGCTTCCAAACAATACATCTACTTTAATTTAAAATGTTTCTTAATTTTACAGTGTTAACATTCCATGAATATGAATGTACAGGATAACCATGTACAAATAACCAAAAATGATTACTTTAAAAAACAAACCTCACTAATACCTATTTATACAAAGTCTTGAATTATGAAACAGTGTTCAACCTTTATAGTTTTCTAATTCTCTAAGTGCTTATCATAACAAACCAGAAAAATAAGTAAATATGCTATCACTTCCCCCAAAAAAGCAGCAACTACAGAGGAAAGCCAGTTTATCACTCCAGAACCTACCTCATCAGTTATGGAAAACAACAAGCAAGGAAGAAGCCTAAGCACAGACACACACAGACCACACCATCTAGCTTACTTTTACATTTTGTTTGTTTCATTTTAATCTTCATGTCTGTAGATGAAGAGATGTGTCCTAGTTCACGACCCTGACACTGCACAAAGGACGAATGATTACTGAGTCAATGTCCAGCTCAAACTCCAAGAAGATCCACAGACACACCCATTAACTGAGATCTTTCAGTGTGAGCAAGTCTCCTAAGGTCAGCCCTGAAGTGAAGTCTCCCTAGTCTTTTACCGATAGAACCAGAAAGCCAGAACCCAAGAAAAAAGAAAGGTATCTGGGCAGGACCTCATGAATGGGATGGTCAAGAGAGTCTGTTAAATGACTGACTTTGGATCTAATTTGAATAATAAAGAAATAGTGGAAGAGGAAAGCCAGAGCTTTCAATCTTTGACGCAAGGCCTTTTTCTTTTTCTTTTTTTTTTTTTTTCTTTTCTTGTCTTTTTGAGACAGGGTCTCCCTATGCAGTTCAGGCTGACCAGAAGATCACTTTGTAGATCAGGTTGGTCTCAAACTTGCAAAGATCCTCCTGCCTCAGTGCTGGGAATACAGACATGGGCCATCACATCAAGTTTAAAGCCATACAATATGATAGGACTGTGACTTCTGGTCCAGAAGGGTGTATTTTAATCTCTAAGCATGCACTCCTGGGGATTTGAGGCTTGTGGCACCAAAAGTCCCTTACTTTTGCGTACCTATCTCATGCATACTTCTACCCAACAGCTCCTACAGAAATGCATTCTCTAAATCACTACACCATACAGTTCCATTACACCCTACTGTTTTGTCCATAGGTTTTTCACACATTTTTGCTTATTACCTAGGAATAGACCTTCTGTCTTCCCAAAAGGATTACTGTCTTTATGGTGCTATTACAAGAGGAGTCTTATGGACATAATCACCAATTACGGATTAAATGAACCTACCTCTTCTGCTGCTGCCTCTGAAAGCAAACCTTCTTTCTGGGCACAGGTTACATGAAAATAGGCTCTGCACATCCCTGCATCACAGCTAATGCAAACTCCAGTCCTAGCAAAGCGAGGATCTTCACAAAAGCTACATTCCTATAACAGAACAGGAAGATTGTCAGAGGAAAATTATTTCCAAAATGAAGACTGCATGCTCATATAATCCTATTGCTAAATATTTAGATTCTGAAGAAATATTACATAATAGTGAACTAACAGAGTGTCAATACAAGAAATAATTGTAGGCAAGCCAAGAGTTTATATGAAAAAGGTAATTCTCTATATAGTTTCAAGGAATAAAAATTCAACTAACATAATAAAACAATTATGTGAAGATTTAGTATATGCTAATACTATTCAAATTGCTTCACAAATATTAATATATGTAATAACAACACAACTACATTAGAAGTGACAATTATTCCCATTTTACACATGAGATAACTGGGATTGGTTATAGGTTATAGGCACTTGCTCAAAATAACAAAAAAACTTACTGGAAATCAGATTTCATACCAATCTTACTTTAAAACCTGCCATTAAGCTATACTAAATTTTCATTTATATTGCTTGAAAAATGAAAAAAAAAAAAAAAGAAACTATCTGCTAAAAATTTTCACATTATCTCCAAAAATATCAGACATTTTTAAAAACACCTTTTAAAGTAAGTTTGATAAAAACAATTTGGTGAGATTCATAGTGATATAGAACACAGCAAATTATTTATATAGTTTCTATTAAAAAGGGGAAAAACTATACAATGAGAAGTACATATTGCTAAATTATCCAAAACTTCCCATCCTTAACAAAAAAGGTGAACCTAATCCCAAAATATAATTTGCATTAGTAACAGAAATCCTCATAAAAGCCAAACCTACTAAAATGTGAAAGACTATCAATTGGCAATTAAAGAAGTGGTTAGTGTATACATTCTAAGTTGACTAAATATGAGGGAAATATGTAAAGGGGAAAATAAAAGTTTGATTAGACACTAAAAATATTGCTTTACTATTACAATAGTTGGTGACTACTCCCTGGGAGGACCAGTTATCAAAAATGAATGGCACAAAGAGAGTAAGAGTCAGGGAACAGATGTAAAACATAAAAATTCTGAAATCCTGGCATTCTATTATCTAGCTGTGGGACTTTTTCCTAAGAAAGTAGATTATGTACAACGTACAATAGTAGCAAAGAGCAATCTAACCACAGACCAAAACAGACAGAGACAAAACGCAAAAAAAAAAAAAAGGGCGGGGGAAGGAGAAAGAGGCAAATGGAAACTAAAGGATGCAATACTTTGTGAGAATCAATTCTTCTAAATCTAAAGAGTCTTCTACTCCAAATTGGTTAAGATAGTCCTCTAAGTGATTCATTTAATATAATAGGAAATTGAGCAAAGAATTTCACAATCTGTGCAAGGAAAACTTTGCAGATAATAAAGTCTTATTAGGCTATGAAATAATCTATCAAAGAAACTATAATCTTCCACAATCGCCTCAATTATTTAAAATGTCAGTGAACTAAGAAACTGAGAAAAGAGATAAAACATAATCAGGATGGAGAAATAAGTACACAATGTGACATACAAGAGATATCCCAGATATAACTCATGACACTGAGTTTGATTTTGTAGATGAGGCAGAGTATATAATTTTCAATTCCACTTCCCAAGGATACTTCATTAAAGCAAAATAAATTAAAGCAAGGGGCCATTCGCTCTGAACTTTCATACAAGCGAACCAAATTTTAATTTAGAGGAATTCCATGTAACAGGCAAAATTTTTTTAACAAATGAGTTTCAGCTTGTAACAAACAGCCAACTAACCCTTAGCTGTGTAACCTGAGATTTTCCACCACAGTCTATCCATACAAAGGAGACACATACCTACAGTACATTAAGAAACTACTTTGCTTCCACATTAAACATACAAAAGCATGCTCAGAATGTAAACACAGAGCTTCCTGAATCTTTTCTAGTTTTTTGTTATGACTGGTTCATTAATCTTTTAATGTTAAAATAAACTGTTACACTTACTTCATCTAAAGTTTTAACAGGTTTGTGTGTATGTCAGAAGTTCAATCAAAGGAGATTTCTAGCAACCCCCAAGAGCAATGAGCAACCAAGAGAGTTCAGAAGACCAGTGTTTGCTGCTCCTGTTTGTAACTGTAGAATATGAGTAGGCAAGTTCTTCTCAGATTCAGGATCCACAAACCTGCCTTTTTGAGCTCTCCATCTTTGAGAATTTCTTTAACCAAACTGGACCAGAATCAGAATCAATCTAATAAATAACTGGATTTGGTTCAGGTCTCATGTAGGTACTTTTTTGAAAAGGGGTCTGAATCTAAGGAATCTTAGGTCTCCAAATCCTATGACACCAGCTAGTTCTATGTTCAAAACTTACAGGTACAGACGCTGTCTGAACACTGAGAAATATGGGTAAGTTCACCTTACTAGGAATAACTTAGAACTACAGTAATTGTGACAAAATCTGTCAAGTAAACATATGCTATTTTACTAGTGAAAAACCTTCATTATGATATAGCACATGCTTCTACAAATAATGAAATATTTTTAAGCAACTGAAAACTATTGTTATATGTCAGGTAGTTCACAATCACATATTCCTGTTTTCACTAGAAATTAAAGTTGTTGAAAGTTAACTCTAAGTTAATCAAAGATAACAAAACTAGATATAATAAGATAAACAATATTTCAGTTGAGTGAAGCCATGAGATATGGCGGGAATATTTTTGCAAGGGATATGTTTTATTATCAAGATTAATTTTTTTCTACAGTAGAATGACTGTCACACATTTAGAAAGAGATTTTTAAAAATAGGACAAAAACTGATGGATATTAAAAAAAAAAAAAAAAACTGCATGGCCAGGCATGGTAGCAAACACCTCTAACCTCAGCATTTTGAAGCCTGAAGCAGGAGGACTGCTGTGAGTTCAAGGCCAACGTGGCCTCTATAGTGAGTTCTGGCCCAGTCTGAACCTACACAGCAAGCAAGACCCTGTCTGGAGTGAAAAAAAAAAAAAAAACTGCACAAGGTTTGTAGAACACACAAGTTAAGAAAAGACTTCTATGTGTAATGGGCCTAAGATCTAAAGGAAATTACTTTCAAGTCTTTCAAACTGAACATTAACATCAAAATACAGTTTCAAAAGTAAAATAATACAAAATCAGAATTTGGTTTTCTCTATTAAAGAAATCAGGTTTTCTTGGAGAACTAGTCACCACTTAGTAAGACATTTTGTGTAAGATTTTTTTTCCCCCTAAGTAATCTGCCTAGATATAAAGGATTGTGAGTCCTACCAAAATAATCTTCTGTGTATCACACCATCTTTTAACAGGTCTTTGTTTACTTAAGAAAACTGAGTCCTCTCCATTAAAAGAACTAAAGTTTTTCTACATTTATGTAATTTTAGGTATCTGTCCAAAGAATTTTTTAATTGTCACTCTGGATAATTAAACAGTGCTTCAGAGTGATCCTGTGATCGTATTTAATCAAGAGTTTTAAGCCTTTTGACATCATTAAGAACTTACAAAAACCAAATTCTAACAAGTGATTTTTATCTTTAACTAACTCTGGTATATCTCAGAAGGCCTCTCAAAGATTCCAAAGATTTTTTTGCTTGTTCTTTATACACAAGAGATATAAAACCAATTGGGCTTAAAATATTATATTTGAATAGGAAATATTGTCAAATGAGAAATTATCTTTAATATTACTTGAGAATTTTTAACTGCTTACAGACATGCTTAGGAAAAAATGTTCCTATTGATAATTACTTAAAGCAGTCTCTTCTAGGTTTTGTGCTTGTGAATTATAAAGTTGCTATCATAAAAGGTAGGAACTTCCATGTCCCACAATGGTGAACTGGATAACGTGTATGACTGCAACCTAACTAGAAAATATGGACAAAAATTTTGTTGTTTTTAACTACTACTTAAAAGAATCAGAGAGGTAGAGTTACCTAAGGACCAGGAATTAAGTTCAGGATCTGAGGCTTTAACTAATTCTGGTGAGGGCAGTTAAAGTTACTGAGGTACCCTAATTTCCAAAGTTAAAACACAGGATTACTGGGAAAGAAACGAGTGTCCAAGGATAACGAGACAGTATTATAAGGAGAGATCAGAGTTCAAGGAGGATATTTCAGATATAACATCAGAAACTTTCCAATTTCTGAATTTTCACTATTAGAATATTATAGTGTTTAATAATCTAGAAATTCCTGCTATGATCTGATGGTTGATGCTCCCTCAGAATTCACACGTAGGAAGCTAATATCAAATGTGATATTATCAAGAGGTCTTTTTGACAAGTTATTAAGTCATGTGAGTTCTTCCTACATAAAGGAATTAGCACCCTTTTAAAAGAGGGTGCCCCTTTCAGCCAGGTGAGGACACAGAGACAAGATGCTATGTCTGAGCACAAACAAACCCTCACCAACCCCTAATCTGTCAGCATTTTGATCTTTGATTCCCAGCCTTAAGAACTATAAAAAAAAAAAAATGCATTTATAAATTACTCAATCTAAGACACCTGATTACAGCAGTCTGAAAGGACTAAGTTCCTTATTCTACCTTTTATGTCTCCGTTCCTCATAACCCTATAGACAGTGAAGAAGCTGTATTGATACCTAATTAACTCTAGTGTTCGAAGGGCACTTATAGTTTTTATACACCTAGGTTTAAGTTAATAAGAGGGCATTTTTAAACATATATAAACCTGAAATTTGATGAATCAAATCCAACTTGTAAATTATCAAGGCTGAGAAACATTTACTAGACAAAAGGTTATGTAATCATAAAAAATGAGTATTTAAAACTGAGCAAAATAAAATATGCTGCTTATATTTGTTTTTATAATTCTGATGAATTCCACTTCAAAAGTTAAGTCAGAAACTGGGATTATATTAGATCCAACTCATTATAAATAACACTGATCTATATATTAGTCAGTATGTCTTGTGCCAGGGAAATAGTAGTAGATTCCATTGACTCCATAGATTATTCAACATTAAGAATATATGAAAAAATTTATCCATCATCAGATTTCTAGGAAAATTATATTAATAAATAATTTAGTACTAAAAGCTGAGCAAACAATATGCTATAAGCACTTGTATAAACACTAATGCTATAAATAAAAAGCATTTATAACAAGTAAAAATGTTCTCTTTTACAATGAAAATCACTCTGTCTTACCTTGGCACCATATTTGGAATAATTCATTTCTGTTAGTGTTACTGGTCGTAATTTGTCAATATCTCCAAAGGCTACTCCAGGTACATAGAGGGCACAGACAATGTGAACCCATCTGTAAGGAGAGAAGATATGATTTTTCTATCAGAAACTTTCATGGAATCCTCACATGGAAAACAAACATAAAACATGTGCCATCTGAAAGAATTGTTTGATCAAATGTTAGAATCTTGATTTCAAACATGTAAATGAAGAATATAAAACACCAACAGAAATATGGCAGTTATTACAGAAAACATGCCTGCATTAAGCACTACTTTTCCAGTAGCTTACGGAACACTTAGATTTAACTATTTATAATTGCCTTTTGCTAAAATCCAGTGCACTTTGTTCTTATCTGTTATCCTTAAATATTTGCATAAAACTAATATTCAAGAGAAACAAAATATTTTCATATGCATATGAAAAATATTCAGGCACTGCTATAAGCATTCAGAGAACTAAAGATCCTAATTTAAGAATTAAGAATCCTAATATAAGAACTGTGTGGTTACTCTGTAGTAATTAGACAAAATTGTTCTTTAACGTTATTCTTCCAAAAGATGTTATATAAACCTTCAGGACATATAACATATATTTTGATGTGCAGTTTCACTTTCTTCCCAAGTTCAAAGCTCATCACTAAAAGAAGGTACAAAACGAAAGTAAAAATAGAAGTCACACTTTCATTCATCTCATCTGTTCCCCAAACAATATATGTACTAACATTTATATGCCCCACATATACATGTATTTTTAAAGTCAGAATGATGCTGTGACATTAAACAAAGAATGCTCCATTTCAGTAGACTTTTAAAAACTAGAGTTGGCTTTGAATTTATGTTTTTAAAATTGATTTGAATCACTTGTAATATGCTAGGCACTCTATTTGCTTACAACCAATGTTGAATCACTGTCTTTGAAATTTAAATTGCAGACCAAATCGCTTCTGTAAAAATAGGGTAAAAATGAGATAGCAAATCTACTGACCCTGAATACATTTCATAACAAATTCTGCTTTATTTTAATGACAGGTTGTGAAGAGTATACAGTTCTGCTTTTATGATATAGTGTCAGTTTTAAGGGGCAAAGAATCAATGTATAGAGGTACTAAGGAAAGTAGTAACAATCTTTTAAAAAATTATTTTTTATTAGAAATTCAAGGCTTTGTAATTTCCTTGATAGAACATTTTAATCCAACCTCCTAAATACATCCTGTAGAGTTAAATAATAAAGATACACATCTTCAACCAGCAGCTGCTCTCTCTATTTAATTTGTACAGTTTTTTCATGCTCCACTGGTGTATTAAATGTCGCCATACTCTGTAGTTTATTTTTGATAAACCCAACAGCTGGCTGCTTGCTTCACACTGACCTTCTTAAAACATTTTAGAACAAGTCACACAAGTACTACAGATTTAAACTGCTATTTCTGTGTGATTGGCACACAAGTCTATCATTTTGTTCAACCACTCATGTGAGACTACCAACTTGAATCTTTATTAAAATCTGTATCAAACTAAGTAAAAATTGCTGTAAGACAATTTTGGTCACTTTTAATACCAGTATACATTTTTTATGTCTTTAGTAACACATACTTCAGAATTTTGTAATTAAGGCAATTCAGAAAATGAAAACCAAAAATACTTCCTTATTACTTTACCATCCATTTTGCTGGGAGCTATGATGACAGATGTTGATTGGGGAAAGGAGCAGAAAAATAAGCATCACATAAAACCACCGAAAAACAGTCAAATTGTCATTCTATCATAGAAACTACTTAACAGATTCTTTTAAATACATATATGTTAATAATTAAGACTAAATAACAATGTACTTCTCAAAAGACTCATTTCTGAGTGGGAATTATATTAATCAAATGCTTTTGAAATGTTCTGTATTTATAGTATCTTTATAATATACATTCACCTTTAGTATGTTATTTTTAATTCCTTTATTCAATAAATAATTCCTGACTATCTATCAGACAGGAAGCACTACACAAGCAGTTCAGAAGTTATGAAGACATATGTGTCTAACCTGCTGTCCTCACTCTGCAGTCAAATGCTGGAAAGGAATAAAAACCTAAAAGTTTTCTGTGAGTCATAGATTATTTTTCTTACTTAACAATCAAAGAACAGGCTCACAGGATTAAGTAATTCCAAAATTTAATAAGACTAGTGATAATTATAACTTAAAAGAATTAAATGCTGCTCTTGCTGCTCTTTTACTGAAGAATTAAATGCTGCTTTTACTACTCTTATAATGCTTACTTTGAAAAATTAAAGAATTTAACTCAGAGGGTTTTTTTTTCATTACAAAATAGACAAGAGATCAATCAACAAAGGACAAAAGGAAGTCAGATCTAGTATTTCCCATAATCAAGTGTATTAGATTACTTAAAATAGGGTGAACTATTTTCCCTAAGATATGAATTAGAAATATAATCACAAGAATGCTTTTACAGGTTTGACACATATCATCTATATAGAACTTGTGTCTCACATCAACAATAGAAGGGAAAATATTCCCATTAAGCCTACTTAATAGAAGTCAATTTCAAAAACTAAGCTTTTTCATTCTTTCTATATATTGTTCTTTCTTTACACCTGTTTTTCATTTAAAGCTGGAATACTAAACACCTGTCAAATTTCTTGACGTTTTATACCTTGAATCCAGAGAGCAATATTACATAAAGACTTATAATTTCCATACCTATATGTGAGAGTAAACATCAACATTAAATGTTCAAACAGTAAATAAAAGATGTTTTTGCCAGGCTACATATCAAAGGAGGTGTATATATTTATAATAACCACCACACCTAATAAAAATATTTCCCAATAAATCACAGTGGTTAGAGAGGCCTTTCTGCTTGTCAGACGGACACAATAAACTGTCTGTCTTCCTCCCTTCTCTCATGTGTAGCCTACTGGCAATTTACTCCATGCCAGGAAGATACCAAAAAAGCAATCAAATGAAGTATAGCTCAGAAAATCATAAATAGAACAGTTAAGTTCAAAGTAGACAGGTCGCAGAGCAGTATATGAACACAACATAATCAGGACAGCAACCTTCCAGCATCTGTCTCCTTGAAAATTCCATCCTGGTTAGGACATAGTTCACAGCTAGGAGAAACACCACATTTACAAGCATCACAAAACCAAGGTTCAGTAGAGTTTTCAGAAGCTGAACTCATAATAGAGTCACTCTCTCCATCAACCCCATAACAACCTAAAAGAAAAAAAAAAAAGAAATACTTATTATTAAACAGGATTTCTTCTTTAAACTAGTATTTATAAAATACCCATCCCCCAGAAATAAAAGAGGTGAGATGTGGAGAATAATTCAGAAAAGGCAACAATGTGTAAGTGTAATATTAAAACACAGAAGTAAAAATCATTTTATAATTTTTCTTACCTAACATAGTATAAAAAACAAAATAAATGGTATTTTAAAACAATTTTAGGCATTCAGGAGGAGAATTAAAGGCTGGAGAAATTTTAATAATATTTTTAAGATTTAATTAAAAATTATTGAAAAGAAATCAGACTAATAAACTACCTATTACTATGTACAAATTACCTTTATAAAAGGCACTAGAATATAAACAGATCAAGTTCATGCAAAAGACACAAAATGCCTTTGATATAATTATAGAGGAAGATTATAACAAACTGATAACAAGAAATGCAAAATATTATTAAAAGGAAAAATCTACAGAAACATACATACACAATAATTAAAGCTATAGAACAATGTGAAAAGTTCTGACTATAGCAAAGCTCTACTCCCAGCTAAAACAACCTATAATGAAATATTTAATAACTATTTTTCTCTTTAAAATTTCATAATTCTTTTGTCTTCTATAAAAAACTTACCCATAACTGCAATGAATGAAAACGAGAGCTCATTCTCTTTCTTCTCATTCACTAAACTTTGATATTCAGATTAAGAATTAAATTATTTAGGCAGATTAAATAACAAAAATCTTCAAACTCCCTCATAAATATACAGATAATACTACATAAATCTTTACATTGTTCAGTATACTTCAACTACATCCCAATTATTTAAAAAGCAAGAATTTTTCTATTAAATCAAGGATTTAAGTCTGGAATTACAAATTATATTTAAAATTACTAGACTTGGGTTGACAATATAGCTCAGTGGCACAAGGGCTTGTCTGGGAAGCACAATGTCCTGAGTTTAATTTCTGGTACAAAAAAAGATATAATTAAAGTTACTAGGCTTTCAGATCTGCCTAAAATCCTTTTTTTTTTTTTTTTTTCTAAAATCCTTATAAAACCAAAAAGCACCTGATTTTGATAGATTATAAATCAAAAGTTTAAACCAATCAGAATTCCAGGGAGGACTTCACTGCCAACATCTTAGTTAGATCTAATTCTCCTCATTAAAATTGCTAATACTTAGTTTAATCTATGAACTCATCAGTAATGAGTTCTTCATAACTGATGAATCAATCACATTCACTAGTAAGTGATGTCACATTATCCCGAAGAACTGTCAGCAGTAAGGTACTCAAAATCTGTATTAGTAACCACAAAGTACTCACAAACATAAAATCTAATAAAGCACAACCGAAAAGTTGAGAGGTAAGTTTACAGAGGATATTTAAAACCATTCTGAACCAATGCATTAGGTAAAAAATATTTCTCTAGAAAAAGTCAGAACTCTTAAATTGCTTCTTTTTCAAAACGGTTCTAGACACATACCAACTTCACATAATACACTTTCCGTTCCATCTAAAAAGAAAGGTACTACCATTATGTCAAAATATCCTTCAATTCAGTTGTGGTGTCATAAACAAGCCCATAATCCCAGTACTCTGGGAGGCTGAGACAGGATGACTGCATGCACAAGTCCAGCCTGGACAGTTTAGTCACTCAGTGAAACCCCATCTTGGTATTTAAAAAGGAAGGATGGTCTGAGCTCTGAACCAAAGGTTTAGCACTTTATATCCATCCATTCTCTTCCTTTTTAACTTACAACCAAGTATATTTTAAAATCTTTCTTTCTCCCACACAAAAACATTAGTACAAAAAGGTTTTCTTTCTTATAAATAAAAATAAAATAAATTTAAAGAAGGGAGGTAACACCTTCAGAGAACTCACTTTCTGTATATATATAGCAATAAATTAAGACTGTGACTTAATTCTAGTCCTGATGTATCACCTTTAGGTTTTGTCATGGTTTATGTCAGTGGCCCCCAAGCCTCATGCAATTATGGATATGACCAAATCTACTGTTTGTGATTGGTTCATTGTCTAGTGCTCAAATTGGTGGTGTGTGCTACACCTGCCTAGGGTTGAAGCCAGCATATGATGTAAGAGCAGGAAGAAGATGTGTCTTGCTCTCTTTTGCTTTTGCTGTTTGCAGCTGGCTATGAATGGCAGCCAGATGTGCCACCTTGCTATTTTGAGCCAGGTAAGCATAGACTACAACCTCCAAAACTGAAAGAAATAAACCTTTTCTTCTTTAGTGTCAAGAATCGAGTATTTTGTCTCAGCAACAACAGTAAAAAGTAACTAAGACAGGTTTTGAACATCTCTCTTCAGTAGGCTAAGACAAATCATTACTTCTCAAGATAGGTCATTTCTAAAGATAACTAAATTATCAGTCATCTAGGATTCTTTTACCAGGCTTAGTCATTCCTTACAGAACTAGACAAAGCAATCTTAAAATTCCTAAGGAACCAGAAGAGATCTAGAACAGCAAAACCAATTCTGAGCAACAAAGATAAGGCAGGGCGCATCACAATCCCAGACTTCAAGTTACACTACAAAGCTACAATTGCAAAAGTCTGGTATTGGTACACACACACACACACACACACACACACATACAGAATAGAAGATACAAAAACAACTCCAATCAAGTTCAGCTATCTTATCTTTGACAAAGACATCAACCCTTTGGTTGGAGGAAAGAAAGCCTCTGTAACAAATAGCGCTGAGAAATATGCCAAACATTAAACTTAAAACTCCTATCTCTAAGCAGGCACTGAACTAAAGTCAAAATGGAACAAAGATCCAAATATTAAACAAAAATATTTAATCTGATGGACGACAATAGGTAAAACTCTTAAAGACACAAGTAGAAGCAAAGCTGTACAAGAAATAACAACAAGAATTAACAAACGAAATCACACCAATTTAAAAAGCTTCTGTACAGAAAGGGAAACCACCAACAGTGTGAAATGACAACTTACAAACTGGGAAAAAAATTTTGCCAGCTATTCTTCAGACATAATATCTAAAATATATAAAGAACTCCAAAATTTTGACCCCCCCCCAATTTAAATCCCACTTTAAAAAAATGGGCATCTGAAATGAATAGACACTTCTCAAAGGAATACAGATGACTAATAAATAAATGAAAAAAATGTTCAATATCCCTGGCCACTTGAGAAATGCAAATTAAAACACTGAGATTCAATCTTACTCCAGAAAGAATGGTTATCATCAAGAAACCAACCAATTAAAAAATGCTGGCAGGGTTGTGGGGAAAAAGGAAGCCTTTTCCCTTGTTGGTAAAAAGTGTACAGGTACAGCTACTGTGGAAATCACTATGGAGATTTCTCAAAAAACTAGAACTAGAGGTCCCATTTGACCCAGCTATCCCGCTTCTAGGTATCTTCCCAAAAGAGTCAAAGAAATCATAACACGATGTTTTATATATATACGCATGTTTACAGCAGCACAATTTATAACAGCCAAATCTTGAAAGCAGCCTATATGTCCATCAAGAGATAAAGGGGTCAAGAAAATTTGGTATTTTTACACAATTTTATGGCAGAGTACTATTCTGCCACAAAAAAGGATAAACATGAGTAACCCAAAGGAAAATAGATACACCTTGAGATCATAACGTTAAGAGAAGTGACTCAAGACACACATGCTTAAATACTACATATTTTTCCTTATAAGAAAAACAACATACATAAGAAATAAAAGATAATAGGAAAAAAAGAGATAAAATGTACAATAATCCAACACAGACAACGTACCTAAAAAATACACTTCAACTTGGTACAACTGTCTTACATGTTTTATGTGTTCTTTGGCCTATTAGTCTGGTTTTCAATCTGCATATATGATAATTAACTTTAAAAGGTCTTATAAATAAATGAATCTGAACTGGAAAAATACAAGGGGACAGATGGGGAAAAACAGAATTGAAATGTGTTATGTACAAGTACAATTCCCTACAGTGAATGTAACCATTATTTACTCCAAACACGTACTAATAAAAGTTTACAAATAACACACTAAAATAAAATAAAGTGTAGTATTAATAGCAAATTCTAAGGGGCACCTAAAGTAACTCACAGTAAACGACAATCAGTGTACTAAGAATGCCACTTATCACTGATGATCATCTCTCAGAAGGCCTCACCACACAAGTTTTCTATGCATCCAATATAACATCAGGAACTGGTTGCTGTCATGATTTACGTTGGTGACCCCGAGGCCTCATGTATTTGCATTGTACATTTGTGACTGGTTTATTTTCTAGCGCTTGGATTGGCGGTGTGAATGCTACACTGGTCTAGGGGTGGAGTCAGGATGTAACATAATGACAAGAAGGTGTGTCTCCCTCTTTTGGCGGTTTCTGCCTTGCTATTTGCAGCCGCCATGTCACCCTGCCTTGAAGCCAACTGAGTATGGACTGAAACCTCCAAAAAACTGTAAGAAGTAAACCTTTCCTTTCCCAACTTTGGGCTTCAGGTATTTTGTCTCAGCAACGAGTAAAAAGTAACTAAGACAGTTGCATACTAAGCAAGCAGTTCAAACTGCAAAATAACTGCTCATAACCACCAAAAGACATCCAAAGTAAAGTAACAATATAAGTAAAGTCATGCTCAGCTCAATAAATCACCCATAACAAAGAAAAAGAACCAAATACAGCTAGTAAATTTTAAATTACCAGCATTAATTCACTAGTTGTCATTGAGGGTCAATAGCTACTTACATATATACTATTACTCATACATAGAGCATAATTAAAATAGTCTAACAGGTGAAAACTAAAAATTGAGTTTGCAACTATAACTTACATAAACTACCTGAATAAATTCTTAACTACTATCCTTATGATATTCAAGTTTTATAATGGTGAACGTTTATGTACTCTGAAAGTCATATAAAAGAAAGGCAAAGAAAAAACTTTCAGCAACTCAACTATTACATACAAATAAGCAAAGAAATCCA